GGGGAACAGGCAGCCCAGGCACCAAACCCAGCCTGACCAACTTCCCTGTTCCCACGCCACCCTAAAACACCCACCCCAAACCCGACCAGACCAAATACCCTGTACACAAAGCATCCCAAACCACGCACCCCAAACCCAGTGCACCCAGCCGGACCCTCTGCACCCCAGACACCCCAAAACGCCCCTCAGCCCCTGCTTACGTCTCTGAACTCCAGCAGCCCGCGCTCCCCCAGCTCGCTGATGCAGCTGTAGGCAGAAGCCGACTGGAGGAAAAGCTGGGCCAAGCAAACCTCCTCGCTGCGGAACAGGGAACCCATGGCCCCCCGGAGACCCCCGGTCCGGCCCGGGGTGCGGAGGCGTCAGGGCACACACCTGGGATGGGACAGAATGGAACAGGAGGGAATGGGGCGGGATGAGAATGGGAAACCGAGCGGAAGAGGGGTGAGGGCTGGAAAGGGGGGACAACAGGGCAGAGGTCGCCCCGGTGTCCTGGCAGACGTGGAGACGGAACCGGGCTGTGACGGTGGGAAACCGGCCCGCTCAGTCACACGCGGCTGTGCCCAGCACCGGGCTGGCAAAATACTTTCGAAACCCCCCCTTCCCCCTCCACCCCCCGCCCCATTCAGCTGCCTCTGAGTCAGGCCCGGCGCATTCCCCGCCCCGGGACCGCCCCGGCCGCCCCCGCGGGCCGGACCCTGTCCGGACCCACCCGCCCGTGCTGCCCCCCCGCCGGCGAGCTCGGCCGGGATCCAGCACTTCCTCTTCCCCAGGAAGAGCCCGGCCCCGGGGAGGGAGGGACCGACCGGCCCGGCCCCGCCGCCCCCCGGGAGCCGAGTTCCCCGTGATATACCGCACCGCGTGGGGAGCGGCCCCTCGGAGAGAGGAGCCCCGCAACATCCCCCGAGGAGGATGGAAATGGGAGACATTTCCCGGAGACGGGAAACCGCGGGCCAGTATCAGCAGGACCCTCACACCGGACTGTTAGCGAGTAATTTACTCAAAACAATCTCTATCTGTGCAGGAGCCAGGGTGCCATCCCTGGAGAGGTTTGGGGTGCTACTGCCCAATCTGCATAAAACAAAGGGGGTGAACTATCACTGCGTGCATCCTGCAAGGCTCGATGGTCGTTCTCGTCATGTTCTCTTGCAAAACTCAGTTCTAATACTTCCCCTCCGGCATCACCGGCTGAACTGCGCCGCCGTGAGAAGCAGCTGAGAAGGGATCACTGAGCATCAAAAACCCCCGAAGCGCTCCCAGACTCATTTCTGAGGCCATTCACCAGAAGATTGAAACCTGGGCATTCCCCCCGAGCCTGATCACATTTCAACCCATCGGACTTTGTGTTTTGTGGGCTTCTTCCCCCACCGCCGACAGATCAAGACCATCACTTCGACCAAGGAACAACTAAATTGCAACAATCATGTCACAAGATCTGCCAGGGGTAATTTTTTTTTACCCTTATCTTTTTGTTCTTTTTGTCTCTTTTCCTTTATACATTTCTTTAAAGTGACATTTTTTATACTTTCACGTTGCTGTATTACTGTATATAATAATGACCAAAACAGCTACATACCTGCTTTCCATTGCAACCCAGCTGTTTTAAAATAAACCCTACCCATACATCCTACAAACACCCATCATTAAGAGTCCTTTCACTGTAATCCACCTCTGCATTACTCTCACCTTCTAGAGGCAGGTCCTAACAACTAGTAGCACCAGGATCTCCTTGCTGGGATTCCCACACCATTACCACTGTAAAACTGCTGCCAGATTTGCCAGGCACCCCACACTGATACCCATACACAGCACCACTGGGACACCCATACCAATGCCACTAGAGGCTCTCCCACTGGTACCATCGGGACCCTCTGCTGGGATCACAAGCATCACTGGGACCCTCACACCAGTACTACTGTGAACCCCCCTTGCCAGGATTACCATGCCTCCCAACCCTGGCTGCCCTCAGAAGCTGGAAATGACCGTCCCAGATTCCCGAATTCCCCCGGCACTGCCCCTCCATCCTTGCCTGCCTCCCTTCACTTCCCACACTTTTCCCTGCAAACCACTCCCTACCACTGGTGCACCTGCCTCCCCAAAACACAACCACACACCCAGGGGTGGGTCCCCGCGAAGGTCGGGGGATCTGACCCCAGCGCTGGACAAGGAAAAGACACGGAGTTACGGGAAGGGGCTGGCACCCACAGTGCCAACAGAGGGGGTGAACCCCCAAACACTTTATTTGGGGGACAGGTAGGGGCTGTCACCGGTACAGGTAATCAGCCTGGATGTTGGCCGCGATCTCGGCCTCCCACTTGTCGCCGTTGTTGAGCAGCTTCTCCTTGTTGTACAGCAGCTCCTCGTGCGTCTCCGTCGAGAACTCAAAATTGGGACCCTGCCAGGGTGGGACAGGGTCACTCTTGGGGTCACCGTGGCAGGAAAAGGGAGTCCCCACTGTCCCCCCCGGCCATGCTCACCTCCACGATGGCGTCCACAGGACAGGCCTCCTGGCAGAACCCACAGTAGATGCACTTGGTCATGTCGATGTCGTAGCGGGTGGTGCGGCGGCTGCCATCAGCGCGGGGCTCGGCCTCGATGGTGATGGCCTGGCACGGGGACACCGTCACAACTGGAGCCCCGGGTGAGGAGGAGGAGGAGGGGAAGGGGAAGGGAGGCTCACCTGTGCCGGGCACACGGCCTCACAGAGCTTGCAGGCGATGCAGCGCTCCTCCCCGGACGGGTACCGGCGCAGTGCGTGCTCCCCGCGGAACCGTGGGCTCAGCGGGCCCTTCTCAAACGGGTAATTGATGGTGGCCGGCTCTCGGAAAAGGTAGCTCAGGGTCATGGCCAGGCCTGCGAGGGAGAAAGAGGGGTTATGATGTATTTGGGAAGTGGGGGGGTCACCTCACAAATAAGGAGGGTGAGCGGGGTCTCACCGCGGACAAGCTCAGTCCAGAGCAGGGTCTGGGCGGCGCGGTCAGTGATGGATCGCATGTCCATGGCCGGCTCCCGGACATTGACGTACTCTGTGGGAAGAGGGGAGCTGTGCCCACCCTGCAGAGCCGTGGGGTGGGAGCTGAGCCCCCACGGGGGGTGGCATGGCCGTACTCACTGTAACAGTCCCTGGGGGTGCTGGTGCTGAGCAGGCGCAGGGAGCCCAGTGGGGCCGGGGGGCCTGGGGAGGAACAGGAGGATCAGTAGGGTCAAGATGGGGTTTGGAGGGGTTTAGGAGGTTTGGGGATTCCTGGGCAGCCTCACCTGCACGGGCAGCCTGGTACAGCAGTCGCAGCGCTGCCATGGCCAGTCCTGGGGTGCAGAGGGAACCTCAGCAACTACCAGTAATGGGCTGTCAGAGGTCCCCCACTTCCCATGAGGGACACTGGCACCCTGATCCCCAGCACCCCTGCCCCAACACCCCACAAGGGACCCCAAGTGCTTCCCCCTAGGGACCCAGGCATCCTGTTTCCTCTGCCAACCCCTCTCAAGGCACTCAGGCATCCCGTCCCTCCTTGCAGCCCTCTCTTAAGGGACCCAAATGTATCCCCCAAGAGATCCGGGTATCCTGTCCACCCCCTAAAAGGGACTCGCACATCCTGCTCCCCCACCCGCCAGGGGCACCCAGGTGTCCCGTCCTCTTCCACCCCTAAGGATCCAGGGGCCCTGATGTCCTGCCTAATCCACGTATCCTCCCATCCCCAAGGCCCCTCCTCGACCGACCCTTCCTGTCACCCCCAAAGTCTCAGCCTCTGTGTGTCCCTTCGGAGAGCGGGGGGGACGGAGGGTAGCGCAGTGTCCGGGCCGCCCCCTCTGCCCCAAACGGGATTTAGGCGGCTACTACACGCCACCGGGGGCGACCACAGCCTCGGGCCACCCCCTGGGCCCCCCAAGCTTCCCCGGGTCCCCCTATTCCACCTCACCCGCCTCAAGGGCCCTCCGCCGTCCTGACCCCTGGCCGCCCCCGCGATCACTGCGCATGCGCGTGCGACGGCGCGTCGTGGGAGGAGCGAGCGACGGCGGACGCGCTTTTCATTGGTGGGAGACCCGCAAAGGGCCGGGGAGCGGGAAGAAAGAGGAGGAAGCGTCGCTGATTGGGGGAAAGTGGCGAGCCGAGCGGTGATTGGTGGGGCGGGATGAGGGGCGTGTCCAAAGGGCGGAAGCGGAATCGCATGTTCATGGCGGAGGTGCGTGGTTACGGTGCCGGCGCGGAGCCTCCTGCTCTTCCAGGGCTTCCCGAATCTGAGGAGCTTTCCGTCCGATTCCTGGAGTAGCTCGGGCCACGGGTGCCGGAAGATCTCGAAGCTGGAGCGGCCCAGACACTTGGATTCACTACAAAGCCCGGCTTCCTCTCTGGGGGGCTCAGCGTTGGCCACTACCCCTCAGCCCCGGCTCAGTCCCTGGAGGTGGGCACCGGGGATGTTTCCCATTCCCTATTAAACTGTCTTTATCTCAACTCCCTCCTTCGTCCAATTCTTTCAATCCGCCCACCCGGGGGGATTCCTGTGGGATTCAGCCAGGACAACCCACAGCCCAGCAAGAATGGGTATCCCTTTACCGGTACAACCAGCCCTCCCAAAATGGAGCAGCATGGAACGAAGGAAACGGGGATCGTAGAGCAGGATAAACGGGAACATAGGACAAAGGACACTGAGATCATGGGGCAAAGGAAACTTGAGTTCGTGGAGCAGGAAAAACTGGGAACATGGGGCAAAGGACACTGAGATCATGGGGCAAAGGAAACTGGGATCATGGAGCAGGAGAAACCAGGATCATCCCAGCTCAAGGATTCGGGATCAGGGACTTGTCATGGACCTTCTCGAAGCAGAGTAGACAATGAGGGGCAAAGAAGACCCCTCTGCTCTGGTAGTACCAGTGGAAATAAAGCCCCAAAGAGCCAGAAAAAAGGGATGTGGGACCGGGATGGAGGGAGATGTGGGGAACAAGGGACTTTTGGGAGCAGGAGTGCAGAAAGGTGAAAGGGAAGCACACAGGATGTGGAGAAACATCTTTCATTGCACCTGGGCACCGGGACCAGCAGCAGGAGATGTGCTGTGGGGAGACTCCAAGTGGGATGTGGAGATCCTCACAGCAGGGTACAGTCATTCTTTCGTGTCACCTTGGAAGTGGCTTGGATGACCCCAAATTTCTTCTTGCAGTATGGGGGGTAGCGTGGGGCATTGAGGGACTCCCAGCCCATCCCACGCTTCAGGCACCCACGGTGGTGGGAGAAGGTGTCAAAGCTGAACTTCCCATGGTGCAATCCCAGGCCACTGTTCCCTGGAATACACAGCACAGGACCCTGGTGGGTAGCTGGATCTGACCATCCTTTGGGTCAAAGAACCCCAAATTAAGCTCCCAGCTCTAAAAACCGCGCCATGACTTCATCCAGCTGCTTTCCAAGCCATGGATGAGCTTCCCAGGAATGTGACCCAAAGAGGACCATGGAGATGACCCAGTGGACACCTAAGTGGATGTTTGGAGTGGGAAGATTAGGCTGGGAGGTAGAGAGATTCCCAAAACCCCTCTCATCAGTTTACCATTTCAGTTAACATATTTAGCAACTGGAAGGGTGTCACTGATGAGGTCATGGCAGCAGCAAGATACTCCCACCAGATGAGCTTCCCTACCACAGGAATACACTCCAAAAGACATCACAACCGTGCTGGATCCAGCCCTGATGCAACGGGGCAAGACTGCAGGGGTGGAGAGGCACAGTGACCACGGAGCCTTTGGTGAGGTGGGACCCAGCACCAAGGATGAATGTTGGGAGGTGGAAGCTGGCTGGCCAGGAACAGCCACAGGAAAACCAGGCAGGCTGGCAAAAAATAAGGAAATCCACACATCATTTGCTAACAGATGGGATAAAATTCCATGAGTCAGCCTGAGCCAGTCAGTCTTCCTGATAAAACTAATTATGTTGAGGTGATGCATTGAGTTCAGTATCTCGCACATTAGCAGCCCTAGGATAAAGGGAGGTCACTGATGCCTCCTGGCCAGCTGAGTGAGAAGAGATGAAAAAAGGTGGAAAACAGGAGCTGGTAGTGGAGATCATCCCATAAAAAGGGGGTGTCTCCATCGTGGAATCCCAGAATAGTTTGGGTTAGGAAGGACCTTAAAGTTATACAGTTCCACTCCCCTGCCATGGGCTGGGACACCTTCCACTAAACCAGGTTACTACAAGCTCTGATTCCCTATATTTTAGGCAAGACATTTCCATGGATCCAAGGAACACAGAGCCTGGGATGGGGAATATGGAGAGAAAGAACCTCAGGAAGCTCCATAGGTGTCCAGCAAAGCCCAAGAGCCCAAGGTGAAGCAAACGGCTTCTGGGGGAGAATTTCCCTATGGACTACTGAGCCCTCTGGAGTTGAGAATTCCTCTTGAGAACCTTCCTGACCATGGGAATGGTCATGGGATCACACCTGGCTTCCAATGATCAGGATTGGGGATTTTGGACCTACCAATGCCTCCAAAGGGCAGCGAGG